TGTTTGCAAGAATGCATCTTCTGAATACATCCTTATATCATGCAATAACGAATCGATTGATATTTGAAGTTGTTTTAATTTTTTTATTAGAAATTGGAAAACTTTGGTGAGAATATTAAGTTTTTTTGAGTAAAGTCTTTATAAAGAAATGTTTATGAAGATACTACGAAAATATAAAATTATTGATGTGATAACGATTTCTGTAAAAAAGAATTTTCTGTAATATATACATGTTATTTTCAATATTTTAATGAAAGTCATAAATTATTAAAAAAAAAATTTGTTAAACATAATATTTTCTTAATTATTTTTACTAATAAATATAATATTAGCTTAATTTAGTAAAATTATTATGTATTTTAAGTTATATATATTGTAAAGTTGCTTAAAGATTTTGAATTATTTATATACAAAATCATTGTATTCACATTACACTATAATTTACTTGCATACTGCAATTTACATTATTCTATTAATTCATTAAATTATTTATTTTCTTTCTAATCAGTTATATTATTTATGTTTGTAATCGGTTATAATATCGATTTTTGTATGCATCTGTGTATGTTTTGGGTAGATGAATATTATATTATATATACTTATAAGTAGTTTATATATTGATAATTTCCCATGTAGAGTTAAATGATTCGAATATTATTCATGTAATTATTTTCTAACATATTACATAATCTTATTGGTTATTATATCTTACTGGTTTTAATTGAATAATTATTTAATAATTATTTGAATAATAACATTTTATTCATTTATGAATACTAACATTTCTAAAAAAAGTATCATCAATTTATTTTAAAATATGAACTAATTTTTCTAAACGTATTTTAATAAAATATTTAAACAAATACTGATCGTATTATGATATTCCATAAAAATTTCATGTTCAGTACTATATAATATCATATAACATAAGATACCGATTAAAAAAAAATTATATACTAAAAATTATATTATGATAATACAAAATTAAGATCATTACATTAGAATAATTATATATTAAGAAAAATTCATATAAAATATGTACTCATTAAATATTATTTGTTTTCACGATAGTTAATAAAAACATGGAATAAATGTGCTATTAAATAATGTTATTTGATATATTCAATGCTTAGAATTAATATTTTAACAGCATTATTTAATTTTCATTCTATATTTAATTTTCATGAAGCATACAATAAAAATGGTATAACATAATCAAATCATGTTTTTTTTAAATAATATATTCTGTTCTAAATATATTGTTTTATATCAATATATACAAAATTTATAATTACACTTATAAGTGATACACTTATAATACTGATATGAATATCAATTTCATTGATTTTTATCAAAGTATTAGGTATCAAAGTAGTAGGATTTCATAACATAATTTTATAATTTAATGAATATTATTATTAAATACAACAATGATATTAGAGCTTCCTTCATTTTTTACATCTTTGTACCATCTAATATTAGGTATAATATATAATATTTTAATATGTAATTTTTTCAGTGATAAAAATATAACAGATTTCTTGTTTAGATGGAAAATTATACTTTAAATTTCTTTAACATTTTATATCTAATTTAAAAATTTTAAATCTTTAATATATATGTAAAACTTTGAGTATAAAGCATATTAATTATAAAACTATGAAGAAATTTAGAACTGTCCAAGTGCCGTCTATTTTTAGCTGAATTTTGAAGAACAATTTAATTAAAAAATATTTTCTACAAATTAAAATAATTAGTATATTTGAGAATATAATTATAATTCAAAATAAAACTAATTCGTTAAAAGCAAATTATATTAAATTCAATCTGACCGATAACTGAAGAAAAATATTGGCATGTATAAGTATTAAGTATTTTATAATCAATTTTTGAATAAACAATTGTAACTAGCTTGATAAAAATTATGTATAGATTGTAATAATTACGTTCTATAATATGTTTCCATTTACGTTGATAGACTTATAAGAATTATTTCAAAAGATTTAATAATTACAAGAATGTCTTCATTGCTTAGAATTTGTATTGATTATTTGTTTTGAAATTAAATCCCTGGATCGATCAAATTAAACATTGTCTGAATTTAACGCTATCATTTATTTTATTTCTAACTTACGAAAAAAAATATAAATAAACTTATTTCTAATAAAACTGAAATTGGATTAAATGAATCTGTTATTTTAATTTTTATGATTGAATAAAAAAAAATAGGGTTTAATAAAATATTTTATTACAGTCCAGAAATACAAGTTTTAATTATAAGAATATTATATAAAAATTTCTATTTATTTTAATGAATAAATTAATTTTAGAAAATATTATTTTAAAAATACATTTGGTTTAAATAAATAAACTACATGTTATAATATATAAAATATAGTTAATTGTTTATTTTGATGATTTTGTATTATTATATATTCAAATTTTTATTATAATAAAAGTAACTTTATAATTGTAATAGTCAACATAAAAAATATTAGTATGGAAATTTCTTGAATAATTAAGAATAAATTATACTCACTTTATTCATTACTTATTCATTTTATTTCAATTTTCATTAAGCTTATAATTTAAAAATATGAAAAGTTTAACATAAAAATAATATATTAATAATACTTAGCAAAAATATATTAAATCTAATTAATTTTTTGAGCAAGAAGTGTGAGTAATTTTTAATAATATAATTTTACGGTAAGTAATTTAAGGTTTTGTCTTTTATGTGGAATTTTGATTGAAAATAATAAAAATGACGAATATAATAATTGTTAAAAAATGTAATATTTAATAAATTAAATGTTTCTAATTCTAACGTAAAATCATTTAAATTTAATACTTTAGACACAAAGAAAATTTTATATTACATTAATTTACAATTTTCATCTACAGTTTTTTGGTAATTGATATTTTAAATAATAAATAATTCTAACTAATTCTAATTATATATTATCTCTGATATTTTTAAAGTATATAACACAAAAATTCGGTATTTGGGATTAACTCCCATATATCTTAATAAAAAATTTTTATTTACATTTGTGAATAATAATAAATTTTATAGAGAAGTAATAATTATTTTCATCATATATTTGTATATAAATATAATTGATTTTCAATAAAGTCAATATAAAATAAATATAAAAATTCATGGTTTCCTAAAATGCAAATTATTGTATGATTTAGAGAGAATGCAATATTGATACGTATAAAATATTAATAATAATATATGTAATATTATGTCAAATATTGATAAGTCAAAAATTATTGATCTAGTCATTATTATTTCATATAAAATTAATATAAAATGAAATTCAAGAAAACTATATTAATATTTTTTAAAAGTAAATGTGCTTAAGTCTCTAAGAGAATAATTATTCCACATTTCTTTCTTTTATGTTTGAAACATAATTAACATAATCTGTATTCATAAATAAATAAATAAATTTTGTTTATTTTATGCTATTTATTATATAATAAATATCCAATTAAATAATAAAATAATTTAAAGTTAATTTAAAGAATATTTAAAATTCTTATAATATGCACATTATGTTTTAAATTTTATTGTAAATTATGATATAATATTGTATTGATTTATAATTGATACTTTTAAGTGAAAAATATATTGAGTTTCAATGCAATTTATTTAATTTATACACAGGTGAATGAAAAAATTTTTCTAGGTAAAATAAAAGTTTATAAAAATCTAGGTTTAATGCCCAAAAAGTGAACAGGTGCTAAAAGATATTGTATAGATAGCAACATATGTACTTATTATTTCATTTGTTTAAACAATCCATATATCGAAAAATCTTTTCTTTTTTAAAACTATTTTTTAAGCTATCTTAAATATCAGACCTATATTTATAATTCTTTACTGCGACGTTAGCATCGTAAAGAATAAAAGAATCCTTCTATCAGATAACAGAAAAGTGGGTAGTTTCTACGTATTTCTTTTCTTATCTATTTTTCCCACTTACTTAAGTTAATCGGTATCCAATTTAAAAAAAAGAAATGTTAGTAGTACCAAAATAAACTGTTTTACAATATAAATATTTAACATGAAATATATTATAAAAGGTTAATTACCACCTAATCTAAAGGCTCACGAATAATTTAAATTAAAGATAATAAAAAAAATTTACAATATAAAATTTCTATATTAAATGATTCCTAAAATATGCAGTTTTAATTAAAAAATTAATGTGATCAATGCTTCTTTCTTTCACTTATGCAAAATTTGAACGAATTAAAATAGAATAGAAATTTTCATTAAGAGTAATACAAATTTTATATAATTTTATTTCTATTTGCAAATATATTTGTAGAAGGTGTGTTCTTCAAAATGATTGAAGAAAAATTATCTTAATTTATCAGTTGGAAATAATGGGATATATTTATAATTTTGACATTCCCATATTATTGAAATACAATAAATTAAAATTTTATTTAAATTTCCTTATAAGTTATACGTAATTTAGTTACAAGTATATATAAAATATACATACAATGTATATATATTGCATGTACACAATGTTATAAGGGTGGATTAATGATCTAACGTATTGATAGATCCAAGTACACCCTATGTCCCTATAGTAAAACGAAGATGTAGAATTTTTCGATTACTTAATCTAAACAATTAAGTGGTATTCACTTTCATATATTTGTAATTATATATTTAAAAGTTTTTTTAATATTTACAAGTTTTATCGTTATAAAATTCCAAAATCATTGTGTATGCTAATAATTTTATAATAATAGTTTTATTAATAAAAATTGTTATAATTTGAATAAAAAAATTAAAAAATAACAATAATAGTTTTATTTCAATTATTTTAATGAAGCTTAACACTTTTTTTAATATATAATTGTAATCTATATTTGTTAAGATAATCTGGTTATTGCAATAATAAATACGTTAAATAGTTATTATGTAAAGATGAAGAATAATAATTTACTGCTTAATAATTTCTGAATTTATTTCAGACTGTTTCAGTTACCGTAAGCGTTTTGACTTTAACATTTATATCCATTGACAGATGGTATGCTATCTGCTTTCCTCTCAGATTCAAGTCTACGACTAATCGAGCAAAAACAGCCATTATTATAATTTGGGTCTTGGCACTGCTCTTTGGTAATTATTTAACAACTATTATATTATAAATACTTGAGACAACATTGTCTTAAATAAATGTTATGGTTTTTAATGATCGCATGCTTATAAATCCAAATATATAAAGAAAAAGTACAGGAAAAAATTATAATCGTAAGGGTTTTCAAGTACATATAATTAATTAATAAATGAAGATTATTTTTTTTTTTATTGTCAAATGGATGCTAACGATTTTGTTATCATATTTTTATTAGACTGATTTTGAAGATTTTAATAATTATTATTACAAGACATTCCGGATCTGCTGGTAATGCACACATTTAGGGATGCTCAACTACCCCAAAAAACTATTCTATTCACCCAATGTGGTCCAACTTGGAGTAATGAAAGTCAAATTACTTTTACAATCATCAAACTTATACTTCTATATACGGGACCTTTGATGTTCATGAGTTTCGCTTATTGCCAGATAGTCAGAGTGCTTTGGCGGAACGACATTCCTGGCCATAATTGTAAGTCATAATTAAAATTCCACATTCAATTTTTATATACTTTTAACTTTTAAATATTTAATAAAGATTCATTATATAATTATTAATATTTATAATATCTTCTTCGTTCAAAGTAATCATGCATTAACGTAATGAATATTCTCAATAAACTAATAGTATTTACAAATAGAAATGAACTATAAATATTACTATAAATTTTAAAATTGTATTATTATAAATAGAGTATTAAATTTGTAAACTAATTTGGAGAATAAATGAAAATAATATTATAAATTTTATACTTGATCATTACTCATTAATTAAATGAAAGCAAATTAATTGTTATTAATAACAATTATTAAAATTTAAAATTGAATGAAATTTTCACTTCAATTAATACAAATTTTTTTTATTGTAATGTTTAATAATGCTATACTATACTATAAAAGTAAAGTATTTTATATTAATTTAATATAAATATATAAATTAATATAAATAATAAATATAATTAAAATAAATAAAAATTTTTTTTCAATTCTGTAAAATTATTTAATCATTAACAATACTTTTTTTATTCATCAGTTATGCGAATCACATAACATATATATTAAAGCTTATGTATTATTCTTTTTCTAAATTAATTTATACAAATTTTATATTGTGTAGAAATGCCATTAAATACGATCGTATTTGCATTTAAGCCAATTGTAGTTTTCCAAGTCTATAATACAAACTATTCTAACTTCAGTACAAATTAAACCTTTCAAGCGTTCATTTTTCGACTTTACACATTTTAAACTTACTTCATATTAGACATTTTATAACGAATTAATGTAATAAAATATAAGATATAAATAATTACTTATTTATAATTTATAAAACTTAATGTAATACAGAAAATTTTTTAATATTTTGTCTTAATAAAAATAATTTAATTCATCCGTATTTATTCAAATTAATATTTTTAATGTAGTTGAGAAATATTTTATAATTTATATTTTCAAATTTCATAACCTTTCTATATTATTTTGAATTATAAAGTATTCAGTAGAAGAGCTTATAAAAATATTGAATATTAAAAGAATAATAAAATTATAAACATATTAATATAAGGTTTGTCGAGTTTTAAAATGATCTTGTTATAGGTTGTGCAGAAATGAAACTTAGCCACATATTTTATTGATTGTTGTAAATCAAACATAATAAAATGATTAAATACTCGATTATTTATTTATTAATATTGAAAACAAATAATAATAATAAAGTTGTTATTATTTATAATTTTCAAACATATTAAGTTATATGAATAAAGAAAATTTTTCTCTAAATTCAAAAAATTTATGTACAATTTAGTGTCAACTCGAATCATCAATGCTAACGAATTGAGCTCGCAGTCAAATGTTGGGAACCCCGAGGGTCAAATAAAGTCTCGAAGGAAAGCTGCTAAAATGCTTGTCTCCGTCGTCCTCATGTTTGCAGTTTGCTGCTTTCCGGTGCACTTACTCTCTATCTTGAGGTATGATATTTATGAACGTTGTCGATGTAGCGCGACGGATGATGTTTTTAAAATAGCACAACCATTCGAAGCATGAACTTTTAAGTGTTCATATACCTCGACAATAAAGTAAATGTTTTCCACGAGATACTCAGTTTGTTCGGTATGAGCTAAAAGTGTCAGTGATATATGTGCACCGATGTTATAATTATAATATTATTACAAAAAAGATGCATGTTCTATCAAAAATTTAATTTAATTTGAAATATACAATCGATTTACGTCAAGTGCTTTTATTGCAAATAAGTTTCAACCATTAAACAACGATTGATTCTTTTTTTTTTTATCAAATATCAATAATTTTTTATTAATGAAATTTAATTTTCTGTTTTAAAAGTAAAATAAAATCAACAGCCTTTGAATTTTTAAGAATTATACAAATATTTTTAAGACAATATTTTTATGTAATACATCATTCTAAATTACGCAGCTCCATTTATTTAAATTATTTAAATTTATTAAGAATTTAATTTATATTTGTGTTATATTTATAACCATGATTAAATAAATAATATATTTAAGGAAATATTTCTGCAGTTGTGAACATTTTAAAATTTGTATTAATTTATATACTTCATTAGTATTAACAATTTATTTATTTACTAATTTGTATTTTTTAACACTTTTTATTATAGAAGTACTATTATAATACGCGCGAGTCCATTGGCGAACGTAACAAGCTGTCTCGTACATTGGTTATATTACGCTAACAGTGCGATCAATCCACTAATTTACAACTTTATGAGCGGTAAATATAATTTTTATTTTGATATTATATTTTTCTTTTAGCCCATAAAATATTTTGTTTACTTATTCAATTATTTCTGAAATTAAGTAAAAAATAATTATATAATTACCGTTATATACATAGTACATATTACGTACATAGTACGTACCATAATATACACAGTTTAATTAATAATTCTTCTCATTTATTTCTATTCTGTCATATTTATTCACAATCCAGTATCTATAATAATAAAGAATTTATTATTTTATTATTGAATTCAATATTTTATCTGTATATTTTTATTATAATTACAATCGTTTCCATTTTTCAGTTTACATATATTTATGAATGATAAATATGCATACATATATTCAAATGAAATTAAAGCAAAATAAAATCTTTTTATTATATATTGCACGTACGAAATTTTATCAGATACAATTGTAAGCATATTAAATATATATTTAATACACAGCAATATTTTGAAAAAATAAAAAATTCAATATATTTAATTATCGAATATTTAATTTGTTTGTAATATTATAATTTTAATAATAGCGTAATAAGCATTAATATTAAATATATACAATGAATTTTATAGCGAATATTTACTACTTCTTAATGTTTCATAATTTTCTAAATATATCGCATCTGTATTTTACTAATGGATCACATTATGAGATTGACATATTTGATTAAATGAATTTTTAAAAGAATATAAATGTTAATTAATTATTGCATATAATAGATAACACAATTTTGTTGTAAAAAGATAAAAAAAGTCAAATAATGGATCCATATTCTTTTCATTATTTATAATATACGTTATACTAAATATAATAAAGGATTTTATGAATTTTCATATTTTTAAATGAAATGCTTACTCATCAATTAAAATAACATTCCAAATGTTCTTTTACTTATTGAAAATATGTTTTAATAGAACTGACCTTATCAGGTTGAAATAAATACTAATTCTGAATTTAAGTCAATAAAAAAATTAAATTATTAATATAAAAGATTAATACTGTATATTTTTATTTAAGTACCAAAAGCAATATTTTACTGCGATATGATTATAAATAAGTACCCTTCCTTATAACTTCTCCCCCATTTATCATATCAGGACTTTTATACTATTACTAGTATCACCATATACAGTAATAAAAAATACTAAAAACTTCTGTATCTATGAAGCTTGTTTATAATTGGTATGTATCGACTTAGTTTAAAAGCATAAATGTCAATAAATAAAGAACCTGTAATTGAAATAAAGAATGTGTGTAATGAACCTATAAGGATTACAATTAAATAGACTTTATACCTCATTGATATCAATTTTAAATAAATACTTTAAATATGTATACATTTTTTTTCCAATAACTCATATAAATGATAGTTTTTACAAACAAAATTTTCCGTGAATACTGAGTACCTTACAGTAATTTAGAAAGATGTTTATTTACATGATTTTTACATAAAATATTCAATAGAAAATGTAATTAAACTTGTTAATTTAAAATTACATTACAGAATTATCACAAATTTCAGAACATATATAATTACAATGATATATATGCTCATATAATGAAATATGACCCGATTGATATTTATTAATTTTATCAACATAAATAATAATTGCAGAAATAATTATCATTGATTGTTTTTATTTTACTATCAGTGTAGAGATACATGAAATGTAAATACTTTAAATTATTTATTTAAAAATGTTGAGTTAAACAAATATGATATAGCTATCACAAAATTAGAATTTATATTATTGTAAATTACTGATAAAATGTAAATATTAGACATTGAAAAATAAAGATATTATTCAAATTTTACCATTTAATATGTATAAGTATTTTAGAAGGTTGTTATAAAATTTATTGAAGAGTACCACAATATTATCGGTATAAATATTTTCATTGTTGGTATTAAATACATTAATATTTACTTATTAGACGAATAAATGAATGCATTGAAATAATTTATCAATTATGCTGTAAATTGTACTTATTTTTATATTTATTTTAAAAATATTTCTAATCGATATCGATAGTAGGCATGTTTTTAATGGAGATTTAGATTTTTTTATTACGATTTTCATAACATTGATTAATTTTTAAGCTCCATTTAGTATTAGGAAATAATTTAAAGTTCTCTCATATACAAATCTTCAGTACCCAAATATACAAAAATAATTCTAAAAGAAAAGTGGTTTTACCGTTCCTCCTAATACGTTTCATTTTCTTTTCTGTATTTTTAATTTTGACAAATTCTTACATATATAAAAGAACGCAGAAATATGTATTTTTTATTATCAAAGCTACTACTGAAAAAAATATTTTTATACTGTGATTAGTCCCTTCTTCGACTCTTAATCCCTCATGTTTAAAGGAAAATTCCGGCGAGAGTTCAAGCGCACGTTCTGCTGTCCACGTTCCGGTGACTCCCATAACCGAGCTGTTTATCGGATGACAGGTATGTCGATGATTACGCGGGTAAGTTAGTAATCTGAAGGTTTTCTGTAACGGCTATTTTGCGAGGTCCATGCACAGAGAAATGAATAACAATAACAATTTTCAATACAGCACGGAAATCATCCCATTCTGTGCCCTCTGCTCGAGTATTAAGCAGCCGAGTTATTATAATACGAAGTAACGATAAAGCCACCTGAATGAACGAGGACAGAGCGAATAAGAAACAGACAAGAAAAATGCTAGAGATTATAGATGCCCGGTGCATGAGCTTTCGTAAAGGTATATTTCTAACAATAAATTTGGGTTTTCAAACTTAAGATTTGTCTGTTTAATGTGAATTGGGATGAAAATACTGATCGAATAACATGATGTATTTCTTCTACCTTCCGTAAACAATTTGATAACTGTTATACATAAAATTGAAAAGGTTTTGTGTTGCAATTATAATAAAATTTTTAATTTAAACATATTCCAAGATAAACATAAAAGAATAAATTTTCCAATTATGGAAAAATATTTTTTTATAATTTGTTGTAAAGTATTTATTGCAAAGTATTATATTTATTGTATAGTATTATTTTTTTTTAAAATAAAATATTGATTAATTATTAATGTTTAAAGAAAAATTAAAATAAAAATAAAAATAAAATTAGTATTATTAGATTTGTATATTTATGTGAACATTTGTAGTCAATACTTCTGAATAATTTATACGTTTAATATATAATTAATATATTTTTTTTTAACTATTGTAACTAAATACAAATTCACTAATTTTCTATTAGTTTTTTCTTAATTTTAATTATCATTGACAATGCTTATTTATATTTAACGATACAATTTAATGTACAGAAAGTGTCTTTGAACTTTGAAAATATTAGTACAAATGTAATACGACATACGATGTACATACAACTGAAATTTATTAATATAAATATTAAATGTATAAATGAAAATTATTCACATTAATTTTGTCAATACATTCAATTAATAAATTTTATTATATAAAAAATGTTGTAGTTTAGAAAAAAAGAAATAAAAAAAAATAGATATTATTATTGAATTTAATGAAAAATAGTAGAAACGATTTTTGATTTGATAATTAAATAAAATTGTAGAAAATAAAAGCAGATATCATTAAATGTAAGTAGAAAATACTGTTATAATATTTAAAATCTCTTAGATGTTGTAAAATATCCATATTAAAATGTTTTTAAAATATAAATTTATGTTCGTATATATTATATGAAATTCTACCTGCTTAATACTATAAATTTTTTATTTCATTTCAGATTTAGAAACTATCAGCAACTATAAAATTTGATCTTCATCTTCGCATCAGATCTGAGAACTTAAATTTATAAATTGTTAAATGTGATTTTCATGTATATTAAAATGTTATATTACAAATTAGAACTCATATAATTTCAGATTCATATTTGTATGTCAAATTTATAAGAAAATCAAGTAAAAAAATATCTAATTAAAAATATGTAACGTATACTGTAAACATTTATTTATAAAATCTTGTTATTTAACAAAATAATCTTTAATTTTGTAGTTGATTATGAAAATTTTGTAAATAAATAATATATAATATTAAAGTATGTATTGTATTATATTATATCGACTATTATATTAATAATTAAGCGATTCTCTTAATTTAATCTATAACTTTTGATGTTATTGAATACCATTAGAAATTTCAATTGACATTGAATATTTTATTATTTTAATTTATATAATAATTATAGAAAAATAGTTATTTAGATTGAACGTTTTACTAATATTTATAGTAGCAACATCAATAGCTTTTCATACGTTGTAACTCCTATTTATAATTGACAATTCAACTATATTTTCTACATATTATATAGTGTACACTTATGTAGTCTAAACTTATATTTCAATTGCAATTATTAAATACAGCACAAAAATTAATATGTTTCATATAAATAAATGGCTAGTTATGATCTAATTAAAAATTTTTTCATAGTTATAAAATAATTTTTGTTTACGAAAATAAGTTTATTTATATTTAACAATAATATATACAAAATTTGTTATTAATACACGTTAATATTATCAAAAATTATAATACAAAAATTAAAAATATCTATTTAGTTTAAATTTAATAATTATAATCAGATTTTATTATCTAAGTTATATATTGGTCAACTTACTCCGAATTTTGCAATGATTTGGTTAATTTACTTCAAATGGTTACTCACCTTCAGTTTGTTCATATTTATATATTATTTATCACTTGATACTAACTTTTAAAATAAATTTTATTTTAAAATAATGAAAAAGTATTTCATTAATATGTAATATAAATAGTGTTATTATAAATATAAATACGTTCAAAATTCTTAAATTTAATTTCATAAAACAATTAGATTATATTTTATAATTTTAAATGAATATTTTTATACTTTCAATTAACCAGCTAATTAATTTTACTATAGCAAATACTTTGAATAAAATTTGAGACGTAAGTATTGTATTTAATATACGAAATTATTTATATTTTCTATATTTTTGAAAAATATACAGCATTTCGTTTTGATAGTATCATTATATTATTTTTTTTTTTTAAAGGTATTTAATTGTAATTGTATCTATCAAACAATTAAATATCTGTAAAAATTTTAATTGATATTAAAATATTTGTTTAAATTGTTCGAAAAATGAAAGTAATTAAAATAAAAATATTTTATCTGCAAATATATTTTTATTTGCCCACTGACATTAAGAAATTTAAATAAAGTTTTATATACTGAGTATCCGTATTATTATAAAAAGTACATAATTACATGGAATTTTAATATTATTTGTAATTATGAGATAATTTTACCTTTGAAAATAAATTTTTATTTGAAGGAGATACATATAATATATATATATATAGATTAGATTATCAATTAATCATAAATTATTATGTACCAATTTATTATTTAATATTTCCAATACAAAAATAAAAAGAAATTTAGTATTTAAGAATTAGTCATTTAAATTACTTAAGAATTTATTTATTTGCAAATAACAAATTTTTTAATATAAAATATATGCATTATTAAATGCATATACGTGTAAATTGAAAAATTCTGAGATTTACAAAATAGTTTTATTGTAGTCACACTAATATAAACAAAAATTTCAGTTTAAATAATTATTAAATCAAATATGAATTTAATAAGTTAAATGTATATACAAAATTAAATTTATGAATTCAATGTTGTAATAAATTATATTAGTAAACAAATATCATTTAAAAAAAAAATGGTATTGGTCGTTTTTTAAAAAAATTGTATCAAAATTTATAATTTTCTAAATATTTAATAAAGTGTATCTATAAAAAAAGAGAAAATATCAGTATATTTAATTGTTAATTTAAAAAAACGAAATTATTTCTTTCCGAAATTTATATAAATATATTTTTAATATATATTAATTATTTAAGAATTTTATGTATAACATTTCAAAATAAAATTAATATTAATTCAAACTTGATCATACATTTAAATAAATAAATAAATATATATATACATTTATTTATTTATATTTATATATTTTTATTATTTATTTAAATTTATATATATTTATGTATAATAATAATATTAATGTGTAAATATTAATTTTACTTAGCGTTCTATCCTAAGTTGGTTTATACTATGCTTATTGCTTATTTTTAAACATTTAATATAAATCTAGTGTTAAACCAAATAACGTTTTCAGTTATTTGTTTCATTTAAAATATTATTTTTAAATATTTTTAATAAAATATTTTTGCAGGTTGCATAATATTAAAACTTTTACTTTTATTAGTTTAATTCTTACTTTATAAACTATTTCTTAATTCCATAATTTTAATAGGCTCATGAAAAATTCTGTTACGTGAAACTACGAAATATTAAAAAGATTAGAAAACAATCATAATGAATTGAATTATTCATTATTATCGCAATATTAACTCTAAGTATATTTATTATTGTATATAAATTATTTTTTATTATTTTTCTCCTATTTACATTTTATTTAATCGTTGCGTTTAGTTTAAAAGTATTTTTAATGGTTAAAAAAAAACGGTATTTTCAAAAGTAGTTTTAAAGAATAGAAATTTCTGTAATAGTTTCTGATCTTGATTAAGAATTAATTTAAAATTAAGAAGAATTATTAATTTAATTTATACGCAAGAAATTATCGACAACAATGTTTTTAAATTAATTTTAAATATTCGTTAGTGTTTTTATACATTGTCTATAATATTTACATTAGTTATTTATATATATATATATATATATATTTGTTATATGTATTTGAATACTGTTGCACAATTATATGATATTTAAACATCAGTATAATGCAGTCACATTACTGGTGATATCAAATTCCTTTAAAATCTTGCATTTGAAAATATGCTCATTAAACCGAAATTATAGAAGGAATTTAAATAAAAGAAAATAACATTATTCAAATTATTAAATACATTTGATCAAACAGTTTTCAAGATTTGTATATCCACGAGTTTCATCTTAAGAAAGAACATTAACAAACGATGTTTATTCTTATACTATAATTATTTTTTTTATATATATTATTTCATAATATATATGTTTAAAATTTATTTTTAAGCATAGCAACTCATTAAAGCCTCAAACCAAAATAATTGTTTAATTATTTATATAAATAAATACACTCATTTATACTGCTTAACTTACATATCTATCAAATAAAGAATTTCATCGAACGGTTTAATAAAAAAAACTTTTTATTCAAGAGGGTGTTTTTTGAAGAAAAAATATAATGTATAATTATTATTAAGATACATCTGTTAAATATTAAAAACAATGTTAGCAATAATAATTATGAAATAAAATTATTTCATGAAAATAATTCAACATTATTAATTTTCATAAAAAAATAATTTAAGTGAATAATAATAAGTGAATGTATATGTATATAAAGCTTAGACAGTTTTAGATTTTTACTTCATTTTCTATATTCTTGTTATTTACAATATACACTTTGATGTATTATAATTTTTTTTGTTATTTTGTTGCTTTGAAAGACGCGAATCATATTAATGATAAAGGAAACATGTTTTTTTATGTATAAAAAACTCGCTTAGAAATAAATAAAGAAACATTAAGCAATTAATCAGTATTAAAGGCAGGTAGAATAATTTACAATAATTCATTATATTTTCCTAATATATTAGTAGCATCTTCGGATGCGAATCTTGCTTTCTTTACTTATTTTTAATGTCGTGATATAACAATAAACTACAAAATATAAAATAGTCTTATACGTCATTTTTTCTATTTTCATAATAACGCACAATTGTGCATAGCTTGCACTAGCATATTATTATAGTGCAAGTATAATTTGTAGAATGATACATAAAGTACTTCAAGGTGACGTATATTATGTATTTATATTTCCTCATTGTTGTGGCAAAAAATGAAAAGCGATGAAAGTATAATAGTAGAAGCTGTAAAGATTATAAGAATAATATCAAAATGTTTTTAATTAGTTACTCATTTTTGCAAGTAGTTTGGTTGACAGTTTTGCCACTAAATGCTTTACGATTTGCTTGAATTAGAAGCAACAGAAAATTTGCGAAAAAGCGATATAGAGTTTAAGGCCTTATCCTTTTAATATTACTCTCATTATTTCTTAAATTTATCATAAAATTTCTGAATCTCCCACATAATAACAATATGTTTATTTTTTATATTTTAAGATCATGTAAAAGTAAAAATTTGTCAAAAAGCATTTATCGATCCTGCTACTATGCCCTCGAATATTATAAAACACTAAGTGATTAACAAAAGCTCTTTCATTCATATGGTGAATTAAGCCATTGATATACAAATATTTTTGTACAAATAAAAAAAGTATATTAGAGAAGAACTTTTGTCGCTATCACGACTTGCCAGATTTTAATTTTATTTACATGTTTCATCAGTTTTATTTCTATTCAATGAAAAGAAATAAAATCTTATAACAAAATAAAGATTCATTTTCTAACTTATAGTATTTATCTTGTAAGGAAAAAGCGAACTATAAATGTATTGCTATAAGGCAATATCATTATATTAAAAACTCTCGTTTACATATTTTTATCCTTCATCATTTTTTTTTTTCAAACCGACAAAAGCGCTAAATTTTATGATATAATTCGTTATCAATAAGATGCAAAGTAGTTATGTCAGTTTGCTTCAGCATAATACAAATCCATTGGTAATAGAGTTACAATAAAAAGGAGTAATTCTTGAAACATGCAAGAGCTTTTTTGTTTCTTCAATTTAGGCAGCTGCTTCTTCGATCACAGAACTTTCCTTAATACTACAGTCCGTCTCATTTTTTCCACTCAATAATTGAACAGACTTTGTAGAAAGTTCTTTCATATCCTTGCTGGCTATTGTTGCAGTACTCCCGACGATACACGTTACTGGGGTATCTGCTGTTACTTCCGCGGATGCTGTAGTTACAGTTATTGTTGCTTCTGAGATTGTTGCTATCGTTGTTACAACTGCTTTTTCTTTTACATCTGGTACAATGTCGGGAACAACAACTTCGACTTTAGTTAGCATCTTTGACTGTCCTGCTTCTGTATCGATCAGAACTGCTTCTAATAGTTTTTCTTCGCTAGATACTACTGATCTTTCTTTGTCTGCAACAGTTGTTTCTTCTAATGAAAGTATTGTTGTTATATTGGTTGAAATATTTAAATTTTCATGGAATAATCGATCTAGCTTACCTACTACTTGAGAAGTTATTTCTTCGTTTAGCTGATTTACAATTTTACTACTACTATTACCATCATCTAGTTGCTGCTGTTCAATTAATTTCTGATGTTGATCTTCCTGTTCAAGCACCTGTTCATGTTCCTGTTGCTGAATCAATTGTTGATGTTCATCTTGTTGCTGTTGCTTAATCAATGGATCATGTTGATTTTGTAGGTGCTCCTCAATGAATTGTTGATGTTTTTGTTGCTGTTGCTCAATTAATTGTTGATGTTCATGTTGCTGCGGTTGATCTTGTAGTTGTTGCTCAATCAACGGTGACTGTTTTTGTTGTTGCTGCTCAATTAACTGTTGATGTTGATCTTGTTGCTGTTGTTCAATCAATTGTTGATGTTGATCTTTTAGTTGCTGCTCAATGAACTGCTGCTGTTTTTGTTGCTGCTGCTCAATTAACTGTTGATGTTGATCTTGTTGCTGTTGCTTAATCAATTGTTGATGTTGATCTTGTAGCTGCTGCTCAATCAATTGTTGATGTTGATTTTGTAGCTGCTGCTCAATTAATTGTTGATGTTCTTGTTGCTGCTGCTCAATCAATTGTTGATGTTCATGTTGCTGCTGTACAATTAACTGTTGATGTTGTTCTTCCTGCTGTTGTTCTATTAAATGTTGCTGATGCTGTTGCAGTTGCTGCTGTATTGCTTGTTCTTGTTGTTGCTGTTGTTGCAATTGTTCTTGTACTTGAGGTTGTAATTGTTGTTGCGTATTTCGATTTCGTCCTCGGTTGTTCTGATTTTGAAGATTGTCAGGTGGTGGAAGTATAGGTATTGCTGCTTTCGGTCGTCTAAGAGGAACAGGTTGTTGTTGTTGTTGCTGCTGCTGCTGTGCTGGACTGTAATAAGTACAGCCCTGAGGTTGGTAAAGTCCTACTTCTTGAGGAGGTGGTGGACCTGGCTGCAGAAGACGTATAATATAAGACAATGAATTAATTAAATAATTTTATTGTATATTTAAATATTCATTTCCAAATTCTGTACTTATTATGAAACGTGTAATTACAATTTGAATTTTAGAACCGTTGAAAGCAACTTTCAAAATTATTATTTTTAACAAACTAAAATTTAAATTCGAAGCGAAGGATGAAAGATAAAATAGCACTTACTTGAACGGCAGCAGGATTATATCCTTGATAGTTGGGTTGGAAAATGGGACCATTTGGTCCTGTGACATAATTTATAATGCTGGGCGGCGCCGTTTGCGATGGTATGAATTGTGGTGGTGGCACAAGAAACGGTGGTGGCGCATGAGGCGCATGAGTCGCATGAGGAGCATGCGGTGCATAATTAGTTGGCTGGGCTCCAGGAGGTATTGGAATTACCGACTGACCGGTCATTGCGGTTCCTGCTGCTGATACTGGTGCTGTTTGCTCGTATGGACCCGGTGGATATCCTGAATAAATAATAAATTATAATTATTGTATTTTTATGAAAACATTTGTTGATAAGTTAGATGCAAAAATTACAATTTCCTTCAATCATATACAAGAATAAATAATACATTTTAACTGTAACAAAGTAAACAAAAAAAAGTACAAGTTCGCTAGTTAACCACGTAAATTATAATAAATTTTTATTGTTCACAAATTGAATATGATTAAAAAAATTTTTAAAATACTATTTAATTTTATTATAAGTTATATCGTAAATTTTTTACATAAAACATTTATTTTCGATATAATTTCGATAAAATTACCTACACGTTTTTTTATTTTATCTCTGTAATTTATATTTATGATACAATTTTATTTTTATTATTATTCATTTTTAATATTACTGCATTATAAATTAAAATTTTTTAATACCAATATTTCTATTTTTTATGATTACAATCTGTAGCTATAGTAATTATGAAAAAACTAAACCATAAATTCAAACATGTTAATTTAATAGTTTAAAACAATTGTAAAATTTTTTAATTGTTTTACACAAATACAATATAGTGAATATGAAACGATAAATCAATTTATAATATTAATTAATTTACTAAAAATTATTAACAGATTTATTTTATTAATTAATGGTTTTATTTTGCTTATAATATTCTTTAATTTATAATACCATGTAAATATTAGAAAGTTATTTTATATATTATTTGAACATAAGATATACTAAAATATTTAAAAATATTGCCTTGTATTTATTAAAGCACTAATAAATATTCATATTAATATTTATAAAATTTTATCATTATAATACAATGCATGCAATCAACACTGAACAATACAAAAAAATTTTTTTTCAGCTCTTAAGATATTCCTTACCTGGTGATTCTAAAACAGCTCTTGAACTTCCAGCTAATGGTTGCATGTGGATACAGAATAGTTTTTTGTTAATTCTTTTCCTTTTATAATAATTAAGTTTGAAGTAAAAGTATTCATTTATATTATTTTATTATGAATATATTTTTCAATAATAATAATGAAATTAATAATTTATTTTATTATATATAAATATTCAGAATCGTGAAATAAAAATCTTTCCTGATTTTATTATATTATAAAAAAATAATTTATATTTTTATTTAATCATAATGAAATTTTATAAATAAATTAATTAATGTATTTCCAATAGTAAAAAAATAAGTAAAATCATTTTGTTTAATGTAAATGTTTATTTTTAGTGTAGTAGTTTTTCTATAGAACATTAAAATTGTTTGCGTTTTACCTTGAGGAGGAGGATAATAAGTGTGTTGAGGAGCAGATTGATAATTTGGTTGTCCTGAATTTGTAGGCCCTTCTGCGATTGGAGGCCGTTGACGAAGGCTAGAATATCGCTTCGGTCGATTTGTAGATATGTCTTGTTGAGATGTTTGTTGAGGAGCTTGTTGTTGAGATGGAGGTGGTTGTTGTTGCGGATGACTTGGCTGAATACGCGGAGGAACTAAAGTCGAATGCTGTTGACTAGATGTTTGACTGTAAAAGTGCTCTAGGAATATGAAATAATTTATACATTAATATCTTGAAAATAATAAAAAAATATTAAATAAAAACTCACAATATTTTGATAAAAATATAAAGAAATAAAAACTAAAAATAATGATTATTAAGAAATATATAATTATAATTATATAAATATAATTATCTAAATAATTATTTAGAAATAATTTAGAAAAAACATACAACTAAATGTAATTACTCAAAGAAAAATTGAGTATTATTTAAATTAGAAATGACTGATTTTCTAACTCACTATTTTGTCTTGTGGCATGATGATATGACGGACCTTCTGTAGATAAATTCATATGTTTCATATCACTAATGATTTGTTCATGTTCAATATTACTTCTTCTATTATCCGTATTGATAAGACCAGAGCCTCTCCCTTTTGGCTTAGATTCTATCGTTCTACTTCCAACTATATTATTATTTGTATTAGCTTTAAAACCACGTCCGCGACTTTTATTTGCTGTAAAGTTTACAGTCTCTTGTACTTGGGGTGATCTTTTATTATCCCGAGGAGTAGTTTTTACAATCACAATTTTTTCAGTATCACCAGTAGCTACATTACATTCATTTGTATTTTGAATATATGGAGTATGTTTCACTTCTCTTTTCCAAACTAAATTATTTCTTTCATTTGGAACTTTATTTTCATTTCTAAAAATATAAAAATTTATTAAATGGCAAAGAAAAATTTAAAAATATATTTCTATTGAATCACAATATAACACAAAAACAAAATATTTAATATTATCTAGTGATATCACATATACTTACACTTGACTATTTGTAAATTGTTTAGATTTTGGTTTCTGACCATCAGTTTGTTGCAATGGAGGAAAATTTTGTATTTTATTCAAATGTATCTTGTTCTTATTACTATACCAAGCTGATGTAATTACTGGTTCCTCTTCTGTCATTTTAGACACATCCTATTTAATAATTATAAATCAATTATGAATTAGTTTGTTCTATTAATATGGTATTTCATTAATTCCATTTACAAACATACATTATCCTTTGAATTTAATAACGGAAAATCTTCTCCAGTTCGATTGGATTTTTTAATATTAGTTTTATGCATAGGTACACTTCCTGCAACTTTTCCATAAGCATCTTCATCTTCCCAATTACGTGTGTATTTATTTGGACCACGTCTATAGATTATAAATAAAATAAAATATTCAAACAAAATCCATATACTAAAATTATACTTTTCATAAAAAAATATAATGTTGCTTAGTAAAGATATTATCATGAAGGTTAATAAACGAATTGTTTAAAAAATTAAATATACTGGTATACCCATATCTTCTTCTCCTTCGTGCTCTAGGTGGTCCTTCCTCATTTCGGATATCGTAGCCATATACTGCTATTAATTCAGCATGGCTTTTTGGGGCTTGTTCTTCATCATTATACCTATCATGATCCCATCTATCTTCTTTATCTTTCCATACTTTCTTATCTTTTACTTCACGTTCTGGCTGTGTTTCTGTAATTTCGTCATTTACTTCATCTGCTGTTCTAACATCGTGCTCATAAAAAGTACCCCGTTTAGGAATATATTGTGGATTTCTTCGATCTTCATCACACTCCAACTTTTTTGGAGTTTTTTCTTCCTCCTGACCGTCTCCACTTTCTCGCTGATTCTTATCCTGAGATTCTGTATCTGAATCGCTGCCTGCAGTATCATATTCTGAGTCGTGCTGATCCTCTGTATGTTCACTGCTCTGTAAATGATTTAAAATTAAAAACTTATTTTTTTATTTAAAGACTTGATTTTGATTCAAAGCTTTTATGAATTATTAACATAAAATTCTAATTTGTTTAATTTTTTGCATAATATAAATTTTATTAATCAGAAACAACTATTATTTAATAGTTAAATATCAATAAAGAATTAGAAATTGAACTATTTTCTTTGCTCAAGTAAGTTTAAAGACGCCAATTTAATTGAAATAAATATATTAATATTTCAATAAAAAGATTAATATTAATAAAATTTCCAATTACTTAAACTGTTTTGAATTCCAATATATATTATTTCATTTTCAAATTAACTTATTAATTAATATTATTTAATCTGATAAAAAATAGGGTTATTATTTTAATATAAGAATATAAAATATAAAATATAAAAATAATACAAAAATATTAAGTGGACTCAATGATTTTATCACTAAGTTCAATTGAATTTATAAATGTATAGAATTACTTTGAAAATCATACAGGTTTAAGAAAGATAGTAAACTAGAAAGTAAATACAGTTAAAAAAATGTTAATTAAGAAAGAAAGTCCAGCATAGTATCGGCGAATAATATAAAACAAAAAGTAAATGTCAAGTAAAACAGGTCAAAGCTTTTTGGGTCATATAAGATTTCACTTAAATTTACTAGGTTAGTTTTGATTTATTATATGTTTATAAGGTTATTTGATAAATATTTTACAAAATATTTCTGAGTGATGCAACGGTTGTTTCCGATTTAATATCTAATCGAGGGTGATTGAAACTACAAGCCATATAATCTCGCAGTAAAATATCAATATCAACATACAATCTTATTTAAAAAAATATGAGAATAACAGCGATATTTATAAATTTGCGTGAAACCTTTTGGCATAACTTAATGTAGTTGAAAACCTAAAATTCCTTGGGAAAGCTCTATCGTTTAAAAGTGCCAGAAATAAATGAGAACTTTAATTTTTTACTGTCGAATAGAATGGTAATCAAGCATCTACATCAAAATAAAAGTAAACATCGATGTCACAGAAATTGGACAAAGAAAAAAAGATATTCGATAGCAGCGACAGTGGGTGTAAAATGCATAACAGGGCAGACAAGCAAAAGGTCACTCACCTGCGTCTCCTTCGTGGCGTTGAGTTCGTCATACGATTCTGAAAGATCATCCGAACCGCCGGACTGTTGAGATTTCCTACGACGACGACTGTCCGACATCTTATACAAATGTTTTAGTCGAATGCAAGGCCAAATATTAACTTAAAGGATGGTGCTGATGAGGAAGCAAAAGATTGTACAAACAATCTAAGGGGGATGCCTAAACGATAAAGACACTTGTAAATCTTACTCTTCTACGTGCCTTGCACAGTGCACACACTGCCGCATAAGCGGGTTGCGGGACGGAATCAACCGCGAGAAGATGCAGCAGTAGAGAACGACAGCCTCGCCTTCGCCGATATGGTGTATGCATACACGATATCGTATAGAGGCGCGCGCACGCGCGAAAAATCTGCATAGGCAAGAGATAGTATGTGTTTATAATGCTGCTTGATTTTTACAAGCTATTTCATGGAGAAGACAGAAGATTACTAAACTGGAAACTGAATAGATTTCAATTCGCAGATCTAGTTGTGCATTTAATCGTTTTGCATGCGCATACCGTACACCTAGGCTAACCTGTACAATTCATTTAGGGTTAGAGTAGTGATGGAAAAATTAGTAATTTCCCGTGAGCGGGAAAATTTAAATTCTATTTTGTACTGGTATAACTAGATAATTCGAATCGATTTTTATCTAAAAATATTACTTTATTTTGTTAATGAAAATGTGCATGTTGATGTGTTTGTTAGTGAAAATGGGTCCATATATTTTCATTTGACTTTTTATTTGTGCTTGCATGTGTACTTGGCGTATATGTACTATTATGAATTTAAAAATTCTAATTTTTATATTTTATTAAATAAGCGTAAATTTAATTGAATTATATTAAATAATTACATAATCAATTTTCAATATTAATTAAAAACAAAAATGAAGTCCACAAAAAACCTAATTTCTCTATTAAGGAAAATTAAAAAATTAGTAATTATAAAGTATTAATTTTATAATCCATGTTTACAGTGACTATAATTATTTATTAAAGTATACAAAATATAAATTTTAAAAATAGAAATTTTCATTTTTTTATTTTTTAAAAATACATCGTATTTGAAAATATTTCTCCAATAAATATATAAATAGAATTTTGTTGTGATAAATTCTGAAAATTTTTTTATTTAATAATATGAAATTTGTTTAATGATTTAAACAATTAATTAGAATACCGTTTATGATTACACTGCTATTAATTTATAGTATTGTAAACTGTAACACTTCATAAATATATTAATTTTTCACAGATTTTAATATTCCTTAATGTATTATTAAAAATATTAATTCAATATTAATTAATTCTAATTAAAACTGTAATTTATTTTATTTAAAACTACGAAGATATAATATTTAGATTTATGATAAATTTATATACTTTATACTATTTAACATTATTTGAGCATTAACTTAAGTTCACTTCTATATAATAATTTTAAAAGGATTAAAGCATTTAAAATTGATCATTTTTATTAAATTCATTTAGATGTATTAAATATAACTCTCCAGTCTAATACAAAGTATAGTCATCTCATAATTGTATACCTTACAAGTAAATTCGTATATTTTCATAAAAAACTTAACGAAAAACTACAATTATATTGTTATATAATACACAATTAAAGTATAAAGAATATTTAATTCTACAATGTTTCCTTTAAATCGTTACAAATTAAATATATATCTTATTAATAAATTGAATAATATGTATTACATTGATAATACAATATATTCTTTATACATATGTTCATACAATATTCTTCATACAATGCATACATTTAAATTCAAATGGATTCAATAAATTAATAAATATCTAATCGCAATTACTATATTATTATATAACATATCTTGTTCTCGTTTAAATAAATAAAAATTTCGTTAATATTTTACATTAATTCAAAAGACAGTTAAATATATATATTTATACAATTGATATTTAAATGCAATTAGCAATTTCATTATTTATGTTTATTTAAAATACTATAATAATTTTTCGAATGTTAGCTTTTATAAAAAGAAAATGAGAAACAATTGATTTAAATTGAAAAATAATATGCTTGGAATTTAAACATCAAATATTAATATATTACGTTATTTAAATATATATAAAATATAACTTTTAATTTAGATAAAATAATTTTTTAGAAGAAACAAACTTGTTAAATGATTTATTAAATATTATATAGATGTTTTGTAAAAAGTAGTGTATTGAATCGGCTATACAATATTACATCTGCAATTGAAATTTTTTAAATGTTGCAGTAATAGTCCTAGTTATTCCTTGCTCCATATGAATGATTTTGGAAATTCTTAAGTCATCAAGATTGAAAGTACATAGTAGCATTCTAATTTATTACAGTTGTGTTTATGCAATATTCATATGGTTTAAATTGTTATTTAAATTTTTCTTGTGATGTTAGTAATTCTGATGCTTACTTTCTTAATTCCTCATTCTTATGAAAATGCTTTTAATTAATTCTCGAGCAAATATCAAACCCATATCTTGTGTAGTATATATACATATTGCTGAATCTAAATAAGAAACACGCTGTATAGAATTACATATTCTTAAATTATTCTATTTTATTTCAATTCAAAATCGTAACAGATTTGATTAATATCAGTTTGGATTGAAGCTATCAAATCTTATTAAATGCATTTATTCTAAAGAATAATGGTATGAACTGTCAAACATTTTAATATAAATATAAAGTTTCTTTGCGATTAATTTAAAAACAAAGTCTTTATAATACCAACACGATTGGGTAGTTCTCTTTTATAACAATTACTGGTTGGTTCATTTTCTATGGAAATATCAACAATAATACTATAGACAATGAAGACACGCCACTCGTATGAAAACACGTGGATTGCTTTTTAAACATCATTAAGCACTTCAAATCTACAATTGCTTAAAAGTCTGCGTTGGTAGATTTTCTAATCTATTAGTATTTTTTTCTTTCACATATTTTTTCTTCAATATTGGATAATTGTACGCAAAAGCATTTATTTAGTATACACATTATTCATACTAAACAAATCATTAAATTATTAGAAATCAATAAAATATGTGAATGCACCAGCAGTCTTAGAAATTGGTGGACTTATTTTAGTAACGATGTTTTGGCTTTACGTACACCGCTTTTCATTATTTTTTATCAATTTATTTGTACTTACATTTGCACACGATTTAAAAGCCTTTGATGACACTATTCTTTTTAAAATTGACTGGCCTGGCAAAACCGAAGATGATTTACTTGTAAGTTTAATTAGAATAAAGTTTCTGTATACATAAAATTACATGAAACTTCGTTTCTAGGTTATTTTGACAATTATAATATTTTCAATCGTTTTAAAATAATTTTCTCTACAAATATTCAGTCTTAAATTTAGGTATATTTAAAAAAATAATAAAATAGATATTAATTTTTATATATTTTACAATAATTTTTATCTGATTTCTAAAAATATTTTTTTTTTATTATTTATATTTTTTTAATTATAAATTATCGAACATCCATTGTAAAAAATATAAATACTAATTAATTATATATAAAAATTAATGTTTAATGTTTTACATTAATAATGATAAAATTAATAATTGAAATTTAATTTTTCATACTTAATATATATATATATATACAAATAGAAGTAATGCTAAATTGCAAACTTGGGTAACCTAAAATATGATATATTTCAGTAATCTTTTTCAAATCCTTCATATGGAAATCATTTTTTTATTTAAATTGTAATTAAGTACTTATTTAATAAATTAAATTATTGATTATATTTATTGAGTGTATTTTTTAATTTTATTGAAATTTAAGATGCATTAATTTATTTTAATTATTTCAGAAGTCTCAAGTAAATGTAGAACCTTATATGATAACAACAGCAGATAATGAAAAATATGAATGTTTTATTCCCGAGGTTAGAGAACAGGATGCTATTACAGACGAACCATATACTGGACCAAATCCTATACAATTCTTATATCTACTATTTAATCGAAATTCATGTTCTTATAGAGTATGCTCATATATTTTTCAAGTATCAATATTTTATAATAATATCGCAATTAAAAATATTCCTTAACATTCATTATAGAATAAGAAACAATATAAATAAAATATATAATATTTATGATTTATAATAGTACATTTCTATGTTATAGTTAGAATCGTATTGGACATATGAACTTTGTCACGGAAGATATGTTCAACAGTATCATGAAGAACGAGATGGAAAGAAAGTCAAGATTCAGACATATGAATTGGGAAAATTTGATTCATCACAAATAAGTAAATTATCTGCTCAATATGATGAATATGCTAAAAATCCAAATAGAAAATCAGAAATTCCAGTCAAAAAAATTGATGGAATTAATATGCCCTATGTAGAAATGGAAATGACAGATGGAACACTTTGTGATTTGAACAATAAACCAAGGTCTATTAGAGTTTTATATGTTTGTTTCCAGCATGGAAAACAAGAAATTTATTCTATAAAAGAAACAGCTACATGTGAATATGAGACTGTTGTTCTTACACCATATCTTTGTGGCCATCCAGATTATAAACCACAGGATACTGGAGAAAATAAAATAAATTGCCGGCCTATAGATAATGCTCCAAAAAAACCAATATCCATACTGACAATGGAATTGGATAGTTGGCGATTAAGATTTCAAAAAGTTATGGTAATACCTAAATATATTTTTTAATTTTTGTTTTATTTCTTATTTCGTTTTTTAATACTCTTTAATTTATTATACATTGTCACTAATTTAATTTCTTTTATACTTTGTTTTATTTGAATATTTATTATTTTTGAATATTTTCATTAACTCTCTGTTCTTAAATATTTATGAAAAGAAAATACAATTATTACACATTAAATATATTAAAGAATTAAATTTATAACGAAGTTGAGTTTAACAAAATTTTGAAATTCTACCATTTTGTATAAGGATGTGTGTCAATTATTTTTTCTTCAGGGTGAGAAGCCACAAAAAGTCTATGCGATCTTCCATGCCGATAAAGATGGTCAGGTTAGAGTATTTTCCATTTTTAATTCAGGAACATTAGTTAAAAACTACATTATAAATTTCTGAAATTATATTTCATATTTGTTGTATAAGTTATATTTCCATTGCTTCATATTTAAATTAATTTATTGTGTACATTTTACCAATAAATTAGTTTTGAAACTAATGATTGATATATTAACTTTTAAATTATGTTATATATTATGTTTTATAAAATTCTACAAGTTCTTTATTATCTACACACATACAAATCATACTCTTACAAAAGATTTATTTTTGTAAATAAATGAAATATTTTTGATCTATTAGAATTCAATGTTATCAGTCATAAATTTTTATATTATTATTTTATTTTTTTTTTTTATAATTTTAATTAAAATTTTTGATAAAAATAATAGTAATTTAAATTATCATTTATTTTTTAATAAAAATAAGATGTTATTATATAATTAGGATGGTCAATCGCAAGTACGAGTTGAAATTCATCCCGTTGATTCCAATGGCAAACATTATAATCTTGATCATTCTTTAAATGCATTAAGTGATCGAGCAAATAATTTGATAAAAAGTAATTCTGCTGATGGTTTTTTAAGTGGAGAAAATTGCTTAAATGGAGTATGTACACTTTTCTAAAATATATGAGTTTGTTAAATTTTATTTTTTCTAATATTATTGCAATAGGGAAATGGATGGTGGAAATATGAATTTTGTTATGGCCGCTCTGTTACTCAGTATCACATAGAAAGTGGTAAATCCAAAATTTCTATGAGCCTTGGTGTATTTGATGTATTAGAACATATGGATTGGATTAAAGCAAATCCTCATAAGAAACCAAAACCAGTTGGACTAAGAAAACAAATATCACATTTTTATAATCATGGTACTATTTGTGATAAAACTGGCAAACCACGACAAACTGAGGTAAAAATATTAGTATTCTATGTGATATTCTCTTTCAAATTAAATTTTAAATTTGATTATTGAAATTAATATATTCATATATCTTAATATCTTGATAATAAAAAACAAAACAAAACAATTGTGCTCTATTTATGTAATTACGTTATTTAACTAATTAATTATAAAAGAATAAGCAATTGCATTTTATTATAAAAAAGATAGTAAGTTTCTTATATTCTTATTTTAAAATATAAATGTATATATATATATATATATAAATATATATATATAATTATTGCATATGTATTTAAATCTATCTTGAATTTTTTAGGTAAAATTAAAATGTGTATCAAATTTTGTGGGCAGCCCTTCCAGTGTATCATTGTATTTGTTAGAGCCTAAAGTATGTGAATACGTATTAGGTGTAGAATCGCCTTTAATATGCAACTTTTTGGAACATGCAGATGATACATACGGCATCATTACTAATAAAGTCTTCTTAAATGTAGATGAATTAAAAGCAAATGTACAAGTGGAAGACCAAGATGAAAGGATAGCTAACGGCGATGAATAGTTAGATATACACAAAAATACTTAATTACTAATAAAATTTTGTATACCAAATGAGTTGAAAATATTTAGATAAAAACATATTACTCATGAAACATGTTTCTTGTAAATAATACGTCAGTTTATTGTACGATAGAAGTGTGTATATTATGTTAATTAAACTGAAGCTTAAAAGCTTATTTTCGAATATGTGAAAAAATATTGCTGCGCAGAAAAATTTCGAAATTATATTAATAGTAATACAAGTAAAGACAAATTAATCATATACATGTATATTTTTAATAATTCGTAATAACTTTATTAATTATGTATTGAAATGTTTTACATTTATTTTAAATATTTAAATAATTAAATTTCGAACTATTACAAAATTAGTTTCTGTATACAGTATTTTAATATTTTATAATCGTTTAATCTTAATTTAATTGTATAATGATGTTTTCTTATAAATCTACTTTTCAATAATGAGTCCAATACCAATGTGCAAAGTTTGTTCAATATGATCTAGAATTCCACTAAGAGCTAATGACGCCTTTGGTATAGGGTACAATTTTTTTTCGAAAACCGCACCAATTTTCCATTCTGAGTCCACAAATCCTTTAAAAATCGAATTAGTCTGTGGTATGTCGAGTTTATAAAGTAGTCTAAATTTTGTTAATTTCTTTATTATATTTGATTGAAATTCAAGTCCCATTTGTAGCTGGTCGCTTTGCTTTTGATGATAGCAGATATGAACTCCAGCTTGACCAACAGTAGTGGAAATGGTACGAAAACCAGTACTGTACCGAAAAGCGCCAGCTATATTCGTTTTTGATCCTACATTTGAACTAGAAATTGCGTTATAAGCAATTTCAACTCCTAAAGTTATTCTTGATGTAATTGCTTGCAAAAAATGCAATACCAATGTACCCTCTTGTTTAAAAATAATAGGATCTACCAATGTAACTGACAATGTGAAATCGTCTGATCGATATTCGATACTTGCTTTTGAATTTATAAATTTGCTTTTTTTAACGTTCGTACATAATTTAATTCTATATCGACAACCAAGAGTATGAATAAATGTTGCTTTTAAATGGCCATTTGGATTAATGTCCCCATAAAGTACTGGATATTTTTCTGTATTTCCCACTTGTTTAGTTCCAATATAAAATGCTCCAAACTTATATCCATATTGTTTTTGAAATTGATTTGTTAACAGAATTGATTTCATATTGGAATTCATATTAAATGTATGTGTTACATAAAAGTGTTCACTTATATTTTTTTTAAGTAAAATTCTTGCACCTTCAAAAATCTTTGGATTCAAATTTTCAAATTTTTTGTGAATGTCTTCAAATGTACCAGGATTTCCTGGTGTATTTCCTTCCGGACAAGGTACACATCCTGAAGGTTTATCTTTAAACTCAGTTGATATATTATTAATACTGGAACACGAAGATCCCATTTTTCAATATTCTTTATGAGACATTTTACTGATTGATAATTGTGCAAAACTAACATATCAATGCATTATTATATATAATTAAACTTCTTATACTACTTTATTTGAATATTATATTCATAAGTAGACTTTATATATTTTTATTCACAATATGTCATAATCTTTTCATTGATTTGAACTTTGTCGCAAATAAGAATTGATTATTTTATTGTAATACTAGCTCAAATGATTAATTTATTAATTACTATCTATACGATTTAACAATTAAAAAAAATCACCATTAATGTAATGTTTTTAAATATGTATACAATTTTAAAATAAATAAAAAGAGATTATTTTAAATATTTAAGTGTATAAATATACATTTATATTGTTTTATGTTTGTTTCGTAATTGAAACTTAATCCAATTTACATTTACAACTTTAAGATACGAGAGAAAATTCCAATGCAACATTTATATTTACATGCGCATGTTTAAATAATAAAAATCACTATATTGAGAATGCCAGGTAAACGTAAACTGTAACCAGATGTAATATTGTGAATTTTATTATAGTCAATTGATAATTACATATATATGTATAATACATAAAACTAGCATAGCTTTCTATATGCTATTTATTTATTTCAGTTCAACCAATGCTAATCGATAAAAATAATAAGCTATTATAAGGCATAATATTCATAATATTAATTTATTTTTAATCGAGAATAAAGATATATATATATATATATATATATATATGTAAGTAATTCTAAATTTTTCGCGCGAATACGAGTACGTGTTTCTCTAACCACTAGATGGCTATAATATCTTTAAATTTTACCTGCAAGTGTTTAAATCAGTATAACATTCGTATATAAGGATCATACAGAAAGACCTATGTGGAAGTGTGTGCTAGTGATGGCACAGCTGAACATTGATCGCTAACAAGTAGATATATGGCAGATCTGCTCAGTGGGTGTTGTCACGTGGTCGCTTCAAGTAGCTTGTGCTCGACTCCCGATGCGCTTGCAACCCGCGACGCGCGTGTGTGTGTATTTTACTCATACACGGCGCCGCGGCCCATGCAAAAGCCTGCACGGTCGAGTCATCACGTCGCTCCTCGAACTACCGCGATTTCCAAATTGGGGGGTAATCGAATAGGTCAGACGAGGTAATTTGTCGCTTCCATATACAAGGCACTGCTGATTATGCAGTTTGCCATTTTTTTAATCCCTCACATATTGTCATATACGTATGTCCATACATACGACGAGTCCTACACATATCTACATGTTGCCGTGTGTATACTTGTAGTTTTATGCGGTAGTGGAACTTCCATTGATATTTAAGTTTGGTTATTATATTAAATAATATTTAATATTCAAGTATTGAAATTAAATTTTTTTGGTAAATAAATTATGATAACTCCCAATTTACAATAATAAACACTTAAATAAATGGATACATTTTCAATTAAGTTCTCACATACATTATAATAAAACATTATATTTAAAATAAGTTCCGTAATGAACATTCAATAAAATTTATCAATTGTTAATGTATGAAATAAACTTACGAATGCACATATTTTAAAAAGGTCTACATCGAAAATAATCTCAAGTGTTAATTACATTTTTGTTTAAATGGAATTTATAATAGTTCTAGAATTCTCTTAGTTCCTTGCTATTACATTATTCAAAATATTTTGAAACTGTATATCTTCTTTAATACATATATTACTTAAATAAAATAATATTACGATTTATTCTGAGTGAATACAAATATATACAATCGTAATGGAAAGGTGACGCAGTGAAACTTTTATAATTTATCTTTATTTAATATTTCAATAAATATTCTCTGAAACATTTTAATTCAATGCTTTCTTATCATAATGTCCTATATATAATTTACACAATTCTATTTAGTTAAAATATTTAATAATTATTAATAATCGATTATATTAATACAAAATAATTCTAGATACATCATTTACATTCGAGTTTTATATTTATTTACAATATATTTAAAACAAACATCTTTCATTAATATTTGCCAAATTATTGATGAAATTAAGAAAATAATAAGCTATAAACAATTTTCTATGATTGATATTGAACATATATTATTGTCTTTAACAAATCTACCTATGCAGGTAATTTTTATAATATATAATGCATACAGCCCTAGAAGCTTATTAAAAAAGAAATAAATAATCATAAAATATCATTTTTAATTTTTATTTTCAATAAAAAATGCACGTATATTAATCGTTGATTAATATACTAAAAATTTGTTGGCTTTACGATTTTACATAATTTTAAATAATTTAATTATTGTTTTTCTTTAACTTTTGATTGCGATTCACTATTAATTTCTGAGGCTACTTGAGCAAATAAAGAATCCCAAGTCCAAACTTCATCAGGTTCTTGGACAAGATGTTCAGGATAAAGTTTTTCTGTGAGAATACTCAAATCCACATCGTCATATTTTGAAAACAGTTTATTTTTCAAAAGATCTGTATTGAGTTCTTTATACGCTGCTGCTGCTCGACTAGCTCCAACCCTGATCAATTATTAAATTAAATATAAATATAACTAACATATGAATATATATTGAAATAAAATAACAATTTTGTTGATTAATAGAAATAATATCTTCAAAAATAATTTGTTTAATATAACTTATACTTACGCAGGAGTACTAGAAATATCTATTGCACTAGTATCTTCAATAATGTCATCTAAATCTGGTATTACAGGAATATCTGAAAGAAAGAAATTAATTAAATGAATAGTTAGATTTTCTAAATAATTCGTTGTTACTATTTCCATTACCATCTTCTTTTGAATTTTTACTACCGATCACGAATCGTTCTCTGTAAATATAATTTTATTATAATTTTCTCGATTTTTGTATTACATATGATTTATTTTAATAATAAAAAAAAAAATTCTTACTGATCGACTGCTGAAAACAGGCCTTTTTGTCTGCATAAAAATAAGCACTTTGATTAATAAATATCTATATTATATCTAGAGAAATTGTTTTAAAAATAAAATAAAATAAAATTTACATATTGACTTATAATATATATTTTTTTTTTAATAAAAGATAACAAATAAATTTATTTGAAACAAATATTTATGTTTTAAATATGAAGCTTGAAACAAGAGCAATTTTGCATCTAGTAAAATGATCATTTTAACAATCCACATAATTTCACATATGAATACAATTATAACTATTCTAATTATTAATTTCATATTTATTATTATTGAAAATAATCAAAAATTAACTTCTAAATATACCTAACATAAATATATGTACTGATTTGAAAATCAGAATTTGATTATATTGCAATGTTCAAATAAATAAGTAAATAAAATGAAAATTCAGAATTTTTTTTAATATTAATAATGAAAAACGTTGAAGCGTTGAAAATATTTTGAAATACTTTTCGAATTGTAGTCTTAGGTAAAACTAATGTCTTTATATAAGTTGTAAATAATTTTATATTGGAAATAAATTAATTTTAATAAAGACCGTTCAATTTTATTTATGAATTCTTCTAAATATCTTATTAATCTATTATTATAAATTTTATTTAAAAATTATTTAATAAATACTATTATAACTGAAAAACTATGTACCTTAATATTTTTTGTAATTAAAAGTAAAAAACTTAGTAATATAAATGCAGCTTGAAAAATTCGTGATACATGTATATTTAGAATATCGATATTGAATTTCATATTATTTTACATCTCTTCATTATATACTCAATTAACTCGATATAGTTAATATATAATAGTAAGTTTAAAATTATTATTTTAATTAATTTCACAAAAATTATATAATTATAAAATAATAAAATATTTCTTGATTGAAATATATATATTTTATTTACTTTGCACTTTTGAGATCTTCACCCCATCCTGTCTTTCTTGTTCGAGGGGGTGCAACGGGTGCTGACTTTTTAGTCAAAGATTTTCCCGAAGACAGGGATTCTGGACTATCAAGTAAATCATTATCATCTTTTTCTTCTTGTGTACTTCCATTTCCAGTGCGTCGTCCTAATCTGGGAATCAACTGCAAATGAAAAAGTGATAGAAAGCCAATATCTTAACTCAATAAAATGCTTTGTAAATTTTACAAACTTATATTATTTTCTTTATAAAAAAAAAATTACCGAGAATTTATAATTAAAATTTAATTATACATAATATTTCAATAGAATGTAATCACATATTTGCATAGATTAACATTTTATAAAAATGATTATTTGACATTGAGTAAACTACTTCTTATAAAGGTGATACCATATTTTTAATATTAAGAGAAAAATTTTTTTTTGGTGAAGTTGCAATAGATATTTAATACTGACAATTCTTTTTTTGTTTACTCTAGTTTTTTATTTATATGCGTTATATACATATCACATATAAATAGTTGCCCAGAAAATTTTTTTCGAATAATCTGTTATTAATTTTAATGACTTGGCTATAATAATTTATATAATAATAATGAATAATAATTAATATAATAATAATTAATGATAATTAATATAATAATAATTAATAATAATTTTTTTTAATCCTACAAAGTGTATTTATTATTTATTCTTAAATTTCACTATTATTGATTATTCATATTTCACTTCTTTGTTACGTAAAGTACTCTAAATAATTTTGAAATTTAAACTTATTCAGATATAAATATATACAGCAATAGCATTTGATTATTTTTTAGCACACAAATGAGTAGTAGGAAATAAATAATAAGTTGATATAGATGTCGCTTTTTGGCAATCAGTGCAATATTATATATTTAATTAAATGTATGTCTACTAAACATTATTATAGCAATAAAGGTTAATGAAAATATTATTTAATTTTTTTATTAATTAATATATAGTTTTTAAATATAAATTTGATAAAAACTTTTTTAATTTTATAGATATAACTTGTTTTAATCGCTATAATGCTTTAAATATGAATTAAAAAATTCATAACAGTTTTACATTGTTCATTAAAAATATTAAATTTATCAAATTTTATATTTAAATATTTTTGCTCGCTTTTATATGTTAATAATATAGAAAAATAGTTAATTCAATAAGCTTGTAAATTTATTTACATATCAATTTATCTAATTTATAACTGATTTGTTATTAAGACAATAAAATAAGAAGATAAATAATAAAATTTCAATTAATATATATAAGATATTTACAGTGAAAAATTACGAATTATTTTATTTTTTAGAATTCAATTCATACAATTTAATGGTAAAAACCATTAATCTTTTTAAAAAATTTTAAATTGAGAATAATCATAAAAACGATTATTATATTTTTGATGAACTAGTACGATGTATAACAGTTATTCAATTAAAAAAATTAAAATTTTGAATGTAATCATATATCATAGCCATTATCTTAAAATTAACAAGAAAATTACCATTATAGAAATAATAAAACTTATAATTTAGAGAATTTAATTAAAGTGCATTAAGTAAGTGTATTAAGTAAAGCGTATTTAAAAAATAAAATAAATAAAATAAATAATCTAATATACCTTAAAAATACTATTTTCATCTTTAGAGTTCATAATAACTGGAATCACTAGAAATATTAAAAGTGTAGAATTTCGTTTGTCAGAAGATGCACTTCACAATGTAATTTATTTGTACAAGCGACTCACTCTACACACCATATATATCAACATGCATATGTGTATGTATTGAACACAATTGAGAACCAGTTCTGTCTGATTCGAAATTGACTAACGGTCATAATGATACCGCTCTCCACCTGAATATTCAAATCTTCTTGTACCTCTCAGTTTTTTCCTTGCCATGTCCAGATCAGAGAGTCAATGTATAGTTTGACTTTTAAAACAAAGAAAGATAAAATATTGACGATTTTAAATACCGTAACACATTTATGAGATTTGTTTGCAAATAGTATCCATAGCGACCGCTTGTCCAAACAGTACACTACTGCAAGATCGCATATGTAAACTCCATTTTCTTTCTTCTGTTCTTTCAATTCTCTACCTACCTTCCTATCTTCCTCTGTCCCTTTCTTAAAACAAGTTCCTTGCTCCGTCTTAACCAACCTCCCACCATTTTCCGCTTGTTCTCTCTTTCAATTCCTTTCCCTTTAGCCTTTTCTTTGAGAAAATGCATATATTTAAATTTCCATTTTATCACCTATTATTACGCATATAACGCGATCTTAATATATAAGTGCCTTCTTTTTTATTTTAATTTTGTAAACATATAATATATTGTTTTTATAAGTTTTTCCTTTAAGGCTCATTATATATTTGCTTTACAATAACTCACAAGGAAAATTATGAAGTTGAAATTTAAAGTGGTTAAGATGGTTAAGATAAAAAAAAGACTTTAAAGTGAATTAGTAATATTATTTTGATATATTTATTGTAGCAAATATAAACGTTAAATTATATTTTCTACTTCTATAGGTAACAAAATATTGAAATACAAATTATCTATACTGAACTTATTTAAGATTTGAAATATTCATGGTTTACTTTAAAAGGAAAAATATTTTTTTTTTAATTTAATTCTATTCATTAACCTATTTCATAAATAAAAAAAAATCTTAACATAATCTAAAACATTATTAGCAATAATTTTATAACAATAATTAATATTGTATATTATACTGTAGAATTTATTATTAATCGTATTATAAACATACCATTAAATAAATGATCATTGAATTAAAATTTTTAATTATGATAATTTAAATAATTGTTTAAGATATAATCTAAAAAATAATTAGCTTTATATTTATATGAAAATATTATTATATAGAGAATATTTTCTATAAACATAACACTAATATTTTTCATTGCATATTTTATATTTTGATAAACTTTGTGAAGAAAATTCATTGTATATATATAATAGATTTTCATATGATGACACATTCTTCTATCAATAAAAAGAAATTTCAATATTAAGCTATATGTAACCGGTCGAATTTCGCAAAGAATGCGAGTAAGCGTGGTCTCAGTCTATTTTTAATCTTATTATTACGATAATAAATCTTAATAGAATTAAAAATAGCTAAGGTGCGAATTTGAAGAATGTAAACATGTCGCGACACAACTTATTGTAAGATACGAGAAGGCCAACAAGCAGATTATGCCCTTTATTGATAAAATATAAAATTATAAAGAAGAAAATTTTTCGCAATTTTCTGTAATGTATTGAGTTTATTTATTTTATACCATCATTCAGAGCAATCACCCCTTATATCTTGGTTTCCTTTTTTTATATGTGAATAATAATGGGAATTGGTCTTATTTTCTCAATGAAATGTAATGATATATTTATACTTCTAAATAGGCTATGTGCAATTTCAAGTTAATAAATCACGAAGGTCATAAAATTATTTATATTTTATGAAGACAAGAATAACCATATTATATAGCATGGTATAATTAATCTTAGCAAAATACGATGAATAAAATTAATTAGAAAGAGAATACTAATATTTACAACGTATTTATTAGGTATACTTCTAATATTTATGAACATTTATATTTCTAAAGAATAACTAAATGGGCATAATTTTATTATACAATATCAGTTATTATACAATCAAAAGTTTATTACATCTCTATGTAAATAATGTAAGAAATATTTATTTATTTATTATTTTATTTTTGAATATTTTTAATACTTAAATAACGTTTTTTTACATTAACATACAAATTTGTTTGTTTCTATAAATAATATATACAACATAACATGTAGAATAACTATAAAATAATCACTTATTGACTTGTTTATTTGTTAATTTCAAATCAATCAAAAAAATTTCATTTATTATTTGAGGAATGTTTTTTTTCGCATACGTACCAAATTTATATTACTATTATATAATAATTTTAAGTAATACGACATATTCATTCATAGTATTGAAATCGTTATTAATGATTTCTTTTTGTATGGACATTAATTATCGGCAAAGATGCCTCTCTAAATTATATATCACCGTGCAATATGAATGCAAGAAAGATCATTAAATATATAATTTAACGACAACCGCAACTTACAACGGCCATATCTGCATAACTTTTTAATACAACTCCGTCTCTTTCTTCATCGTGATATAGAATTGAAATGCTTGATAAATTTACAGGGACACAGCACGGAGTTTGAACATCTTCACTGGATGCCAGATTCATTTTGTGAATTATTCCCTAAAACGTAATAAACAGTTCTATAATTTAATTTACTAATTATAAAAAAAATAGGATGGAAAATATGTTTTATACTAGCTAATTTTATTTTAACATTAATTACTAGTCACAAATATAGAAACACCAAATAAATATTGATTATTTAAATTAATGTTAATTTTACTAATATCTATAAGTTAAAAAATTTTTTTTAATTTTAATTTAGTATCAATAACATTTTCAATTTGTTTTTATCAAATTAACAAAAAGTTTTTATAATACTTATATGTAATGAGTAATTGTTAACAAATTATATATATATATATATATATATATATATATATATATATATATATATATAAATGAGTTACAAATTTTATGCAGGAAAAAAATGAAGGAACAAAGAAATAAAAAATTACTTATTTAACATTTAAGAATTTTCAAGAAATTTTCATAAGAACTTATGTATAGACTTTTAATATGAAAAGTTTATCCGAATATAAAAAAGAAAATAATGATATGCATAAAATATTATCGAAATATTAAAATATTATCAACGATGATAATAAAATATTATCATTTCATATTAAGTAGTATGTAAATTCTTTAAAAAATCTTTAATTTTAATAATTTATCATTATTGTAATGAAATTACATCTAAAAGCAAGAATATGTTTTCAAACAATTACGAAAATTCTTGCTTATATTTTTTCATACACCCATGATTTAAAAGACTTTTAAAATTTTGGTAAACTTACCTGTATAGTTGCATGATTGGTTGGTTTTTGCTCTTGGCTGAGCGGCGACTTACAATGGCCACGGCATTGGTAAGCTGCGTAGCCTTCGGGTGCGATGATTGTCGACAGGCCTATATCCCGGAAATTGACGTAAAGCTCGTGCTTGGCGCACGGCTCCAGTTGTGGTTTGCTACACTCGTCTGTGGGGGCAGCGACGGTGACGCTTGAAGCGCCCGCGGCCTCCCTTTTGACCTTCAAAGACTTATGCAATATCTCAGGTCTGATAATATCTTGTTTGTGCAGATTTAATTTTTCTCGTAGCATCGCTCGTTGATAGATATCCAAGGAGGTGAGAGTGTTCTCCAAGCTTTTCCGTCTGGATACAAATTCTGAACGAAAAATATAATTTTTGAGTTTCTATTTAAAGTTAGAAATATAAAGCAAGTCGATTTAAAATCAATTACCTTATCTCTAAGAGATACTCTATTTATGCATTCGCTATTATTAAATTAAAAAAAAGGTATTCTTATTAAATCGTATTCCCAGTAAATATATCGTTATATGGCAATAACAGAATTTTTATTACAAGATTATGAGTTAGTCAAATCTTATTATAATGCACATCTAGTGTCTAAGAGATTATTCAGTGTCTAGATTTACGAATTAATAATTCTATCTTACTATTTATTAGTAATATTGTACATAAAGGACTCGAAAAATGACACCTAACTAGATCATATACTTGGTAGTATACTAGAACGTATAAAAATAAATAGTACTAAATAGTTATTTATGAGTTATCATAAAAAATATAGTTGTGCTATATCAATCAAGTTAAACAGCGTTTAAAGTTAAATTTATTTATTTAATATATTTTAAATTATGCTATTTTCAGAATAAAATTTTCAAACATTTGTGTATATATTAGTTTAATGATCAAGATACATTTTCGGTTTTAGAATCATTATTTAGTAGAATAATATCCTATTCATTGAATTTAAGAATTTTCGAAAAATGTTTATTTAATGTTAATAAATATAATTTACTAAAATAAAATTGAAGTCAATATTTAGTTAATATAAGTAGAATATTTAGTTTCATATAATAGTTAAAAATGTTTATAGTTTAAAATATACATATTCCCATATTTACCATATTGAAACTATAATGTATTGTTCTATAATTGAATACCGCTGTGTTCAATGAAATTTTGCTCTAAAATGTTTAGTTTGCATAAATTTTTTAATACTTTATAAATGATAATTTAATTTACTAGAAAAATTATAAAAATCTTATTCGATTTTATTACAATTATACAATCGTAGTATTCTTGTAATTCTAATAGTTATATTACAATTACATAACAACATTTATGATATTTAGAACAAATTTTTCTATTTAACAATAGAAATATTAATGGTACCATTCTGTTATTATATCATTTGAAATTATGAATAGAAACAATCTAAATTAATGTAATAATTCGAATTCTTACGTTAATACAAGAAGTATTTCAAGTTTTGTTAGTACAATAAATAAATAAATATATATATATATATATATATATATATATGCATTATTCAAAATATTTTTTAATTCTTGAATTTAATTTATAGAATCACGTTTAAGTATATATTTTATACAGAATAAGATCTAACAAATTTTCATATATAATAGTAAATTTAAAGAAATACTTTTCTAACCATGCATTTTCTGGGAGCGATTGGCGTCAGCCTGAGCTTGAGGTTTTTTCTCCCTACGAAACTTCTTTGGGCGATTTCCTGTAATCACTTCTAGTGCTTCTTCCGGTTGACCTTTGGTCGCACGAGCATTTCTTTTTTCCCGTTCTTTATCAGATTCTATAATTGAATTCATAAAGACATCTTCTAAATCCGTGATTGCTCTTTGTTTATTGTCAACTTTATCTTCCTTTTCGTGGTTCACAATTTGTTTTGGATATACTTGTACACTATCGTCATTAAAAAGTACAAGAATGGGCTGCTTTTCATGAGGTAAATCATGACGAGATGAAAAGTTAATGGAAACCCGATCACCAAAGATCGTTGTTGCGCTCACAAGAAGGCCAAGATTTGGTATTCCCGACAACCAAGAAAGTACCGCTTGCTTTACATTAAATAAAATAAAAATTACAGTAAGGCTTGGCCAGTGAAAAATTCACGTTTTCTTTTTCTAGGTATAAACTGCTTAGATATTCACTTTTATAATATATTATTGATAATTGAAATAAATTATATTTCATTATTATAACATATATAAAGATATTTAACAAACCGTAAAAATATTCTTTAACTATGAAAAATTTTATATATTACAGATTTATTGAAGATTTTATAAATAAAACGAGTTAATTATGGTTTACTTACTTGCCAACCTGAAGCATAAGCACCAACATAATGAACATTCAGTAGCCTGTGAAGATCAGGTACTCCCAAACTTTTATCTTGTAAAACTTGATAAACTTTAATCTATAAAAACATTATAATTTTCATGTGATTACAAATAATAATATTCTTAATACTTTTAAATAATAATAAACTATTTTTTTATCGTGTCATTGTGAATGTAAACTTTTAAATTGCATAATTGATATATTCTCGATATTTTAAATAACATTTTTAAATTATGTTTAAAGGCATAAAGAAATTAAAATAAATGATTAAACACTTCCATAGTCTATTTATGTAATTGAAACAGTGTTAAAGTTTGAAGATTAATTTAATTATTTATGTTAATGAATACTCACTAAATAATACGGAGAGGAAAGTACTGAGAGAGGCATTGATTTAGGAGATGAACGTTGCCGATATAAATGTAATTCAGCCTCGAGTACAAACTCATTTTGATCCAATCCAGATACGTTAAAAATAAAATAACCTACAGAAGAACTGTCTGTAATTAAAGATTTATATTAAAATTATTATAATTAATATCATTATCGTCGTTCTTATTGTTATTATTATTGTTGTTTTTATTATTATTAAAATAAGAATGTTA